GGGGAGGGATGGGGAGGCTGGCTATGGGAGGGACTCCCCCAAACACCCAAGGTCCCCCAAAGTGGAAAGTGTCCTCCAACCACACAGAATTTAGTCACCTCTTGGCCCCAGGTACTCCCTAGATGTGAGTGCCCTTTGGATGGCAACTTTCTAGGACAAAGCTGTCTCTTGCTTGTACCCCAATCTAGGTTTTCCTTCTGGGGAAGTTCCATCTAACTTGCCTCCCGCTGTACTCTCTGAGCTCAGTCTGTCTCTCTCTAAAGTCGCACATCCCTGCCTCTCTCCACCTGGGTCTGAGGGGTCTGGGAACTCTCGGGAGGGGTGTTTCCCTGTCCTTCCCATGGTCTGTGTTTTGTCCCCCTGCCTCAGCCTAACGGAGCAGCAGAGACACCTCCTGCAGCAGCAAGAACAGCAGCTCCAGCAGCTCCAGCAGCTCCTCGCCTCCCCACAGCTGACCCCGGTAAGGCCCTCCTTTCCCAGGCCCTTCCCCCACGCCCCTCCCCCAGCTCTGCTAGAGGGGCCCATGGCAGAGGGTCTGGGGAGGGAGAACAGCTCCCGGCTGGGCTGAGAGTGCACCTGTGGGGCGGGAGCATCCTCTATGAGAGCAGGTCTAGAGGGTGGCAGGTCCTCAGTTATTGAGCATTTCCAATCCCCGCCCCAAGGATCTTCAGGGGGAACCTCAGAGTGTGTGTGGAGAGGGGGCTGAGCAGGTGGCACCCCTCCACCAGAGCAGCCCCTTTTGGGTCTGCCTTGTATGTTGGGCTCTGCCAAGGTTTCCTTTCAAAAAGGAGGGAGCTGGAACTATATAAACAACAGTCATTTTCACATAAAGAAACATTAGAAAGAGACACAAGAAACCAATTCAACTGGGTATAAGGGCCAGATGGGAACGGGTAGGAGCAAGATTTCCTAAGGTAAACCAGGATATATTGTTTTGGTTTTCAGAATACTTGAAAATGCTTTGCATTCTCAAAGCAAAAATCAATGAATCTTACATTTAAAAAAGCAAACAAAAAAGAGGGGGAGTTCAACACTATTGACCTAGTTTAATGTTTCTCAGGTTGGGGTCGTACCACCCCTGGGAGCATTTGTTGTTGTCCTAGTGACTGAGGAACTGGCTTGAGCGGGGCGGGGCCAGGGATGTCGATCACCCTGTGCTTGGCCATTGGTGCCCCACTGGACCAACACTGACGGCGTGCAACCACTTTCTTGTCCAGATGGGGAGACTGAGGCCCAGAGTGGGGAGTTAGAGACAAGAGAACCTTGACCATCTCCTGCCTCCACTGTGAGGGGATGGGGCCTGGGCCAAGCGAGGCAAGTTGGCCTCGGGAACCACTGGCCAATGAGCGGTCTGGCCTACTTGCAGGAACACCAGACCGTTGTCTACCAGATGATCCAGCAGATCCAGCAGAAGCGGGAGCTGCAGCGGCTGCAGATGGCCGGGGGCTCTCAGCTGCCCATGGCCAGCCTGCTGGCAGGAAGCTCTGCCCCCCTGCTGTCTGCGGGCACTCCTGGCCTGCTGCCCGCAGCATCTGCCCCACCCCTGCTGCCCGCAGGAGCCCTGGTGGCTCCCTCCCTCGGCAACAACACAAGTCTCATGGCCGCAGCAGCTGCTGCCGCCGCAGCAGTAGCAGCAGCAGGCGGCCCTCCAGTCCTGACGGCTCAGACCAACCCCTTCCTCAGCCTGTCGGGGGCGGACAGCAGTGGCAGTGGCCCCAAAGGAGGGGTGAGTAAGGGGGCTGGGGCTGTCCTGTCTTCCTGCTCTGGGATAGGCAGGATCAGATGGTACATCATCAGGTGCATCATAAGGAGGAGGAGGAAGTGACCCCTAGGTCAGCAAAGCACCCTGCTCCAGACCCCAGGGCCTCTGCAGGCACATGGGTTCCCTCCTGCAGATCCAAGAAAGATGCGCTCTGAGCATGCGCTAATAGTGAAAGGACCAATTAGGAAGCAGCATTCCTCTGGGAGGACCAATTAGAAAAGGCCATTTCCTCTCTCAGTAGAGATGATGCTCTGGGTGGGCCTTTCTGGAAATGCCCACTTATGCCACTCTGCGGGCATAAAGACAGCATGGGCGCTGGCTTTGGCTGGAGCATGCCCGCCTAGCCAGGCACCCTTGTGCAGAGCACACTCCCCTTCTCTCCCCACCTCCCCCCACACGCACAACACGTTGTTGACTTTGATGGATACCCATCAGAGCCCAGGTCAGGAACTTGAGCTGGGCTCCCTCACTGCACCTTTCAAAAGCTTTCTTAACCCAAAGAGCTGTTCTCAGCTGGGTGTTAGGACCAGACACCTCCCAAACCCCCAGCCTCCCTTCCTCTCTTTCCAGACCGCTGACAAAGGAGCCTCAGCCAACCAGGAAAAAGGCTAAATCCATCCACACCCCTCCTGACCCCCACAGTGGAGGGGGCAATCCTGGCTTGAGGGGGTCCTAGCCTGGAGCAGGCACCTGCGCCCAGATCCTGGAGAGTCCCAGCCCAGAGCACGTGCTGAGACCTGGGGAGTGTGGGGCGCGCCTGGTGCTGAGGACTGAGACCGAGAGGGGCGCTCCTTCTCTCCGGCCCCTTTCCCCTCTGCAGAGACCCTTTGTGAGGGGCTCAGAGGGAGGACGGGCTCCAAGCTGACCTAGGAGCCCCTCTCGGCAAACGTGTTGAGGTCCTCCAGGGAGCACAGTGGGCCACGGCATAAGTGGGGGGTTGGTTGGACCCACCACATAAAATGGATCAGCACTTGATGGGACAGGTCCTGGGCCTGCCCCTGCGCAGAAATCTGTTAAGGAAGAAGGGGTGGCCCTACTGCACCTGCAGTTTCTTCCCAACTTGGGCAGATGGCAGGAGGGATCCCTTAGACTGTTTCTCACCTGTCTTCTTCCCCTGCCCCCCGCCCCCACCCCAACAAGGGTCACAAGCTGAGCTTGTAAAAGCCCACAGACTAGGAGGCTGAGGAAGGGGCAGGATGGCCTCAAACTCAGCCCAAGCCTCCCCACCTCTGGGGGAAGCCCAATGATGGGTTGGGGGGCAGAGGCCCAGCCCCCTGGGTGCCCTGCCCCTTTTTGCACTATTGGATATTGGATTTAGGAGTGCCGAGGGTGGGGAGATGGAGTTAGCTGCGTGTGCGTGTGCGTGTGCGTGTGTGTGTGTGTGTGTGTGTGTGTGTGTATGTGTGTACGTCTGTCTCCCCCGACCTGGGGCAGCCGAGGACAGGGATAGGAGCAGTGCTCAGAAGGGGGGCTCCCAGCTCTTGTTTGCACCCTCACCAACTTTGGTCCCTTTCTGGGGCATGCGTGGTTAACAAAGATCAGAGCAGTACTCCAATATTGGAGAGTAACTGGGGGCTGAGGGCTTTGAATCAGGGTAAATCCTGCCTTCCCTTCCCCAGCTCCCTCATGGTCTTAGTGCCCCCTCAGAGCTCCCCTCCCTCCACTATAGTTGGTCCTGCTTCCCTGGCACAAGGGGAGCCCCAGGGATTGGGGGACAGAGCAAGGGAGGGTCAAGTGCCACTTCCTTTTGTGAAGACCCCCCTCCCAGAACTAGCCAGCCTACTTCCTGCACCAGACCGCCACCTCCACCAACCAGGGGAGACTTACGCTTAAGCTGACCTACAACTGTCCCTTCACCCACCAGCTCTTTCCCCTCGGGGTATAGTGGGCAACGCTTAGATTCTCACCTGACGGAGTCCCCACCTGCCCAGAGCCTTTGGTGGCAAAGGCCTAGGAGCCAGTGGGACAGCCAGGAGAGGGGCAAGGTTGAAGCCTGTGTCTGTTTCAGTTGCACTGGGGTTGGAGCCAGGAGAAGGCATTTCCAGCTTTCCCTGATGCTCCTGTCTTGTCAGTCTCTTTGCATGTGTGGATGTGGGTGTGTGTGTGTGTGTGTGTGTGTGTGTATGTTCCTGTTTGGGTTTTTGTTGTTGGTTTTTTTTTTTTTAATAAAGAAAAGAAGATGTGTATATTTTTGGCAATGACAGAAACGTAGTGCAGATATATTTTTGCCTGTGCTGCTCAACTGGTTTTTTTCTGATACTGAAAATAATATTAATATTACTGTTGATAAGACTTTGTAATATGTTAGGGAGCTGATAATGGAGGGGGCGGGTGGGAATCCTTCCAAGGCAATTTCTTAGGCCCTTGCCAGGGCTTGGGGGGGGAGGGGTGGCAGTTGTGATGACCTCAGAAATACTCACTTTTTATTAATGCTAAATATCAGGAAGAAATGATAGAATTCAGCATTGTATTAATCTTCATCTGTTAAGCTATCTAACTCCCTGCCCCCAAATCACTGAGAAGAAAAACAACTTTTTCAGAGATTCTTAGAAGAGTTGTTCATTCACACCCACGCCCTTGCCGAAGGCCAGCCCACTGAGAGCTGAAGTCCACTTCTGTTCTGGATGGCGAGGGATAAATCCCCCAAGGCTGCTGTGGGGGAGAGAGGTCCCATGATTTTGTGCACTGGAACCAAGACCTCCTCCTCCCTCCCCCACCCGGGAGTCTGGGGTTCTCTCCTCCAAGTGTCTGTGTTTTCCAGCTTTCCCCCAGGCGGGCGCAGCAGCCGGTAGTCAGGTTAGGTTTGAAGGTGGGACCTGGGCTGGGTATGGACTGGTGCTGTCCCCCCATTGGGGATGGGAAGGGGCCGGAGAGAGGTAGTACCTTTTCATCGTTTAGGGAGCTTTATCATAAGAAAGGCCTAGAGATCTTCAGGAAGGAGCAGGGTCCCAGTGTGTGTGTGGGGGGGTTATACTGACCTAACCTCAGTCCTCTTTCCAGGGAATTTGGATGGGGAGTGGGAAGGGATGCAGATTTGTAGAGCACTCTGTCTAGGGGGGTTGGGGGGGGGGCGGGAAGGATGTGGTTTGCAGGGCGGAAGTGGAGTTTGAAAATGCATGCAGGAGCTTGTGTGTCCTCACCCTCAGCGTGGAGATGCGAGTGGGGTGTGCATGCAGAGCCGCTGTCTGGCCTCGGGGTCACAGCTGGCGCATGAGTGTCAGGACTGGAAGGGACCTGTCTTTAGGGGTCATTTGAGCCAGATGCTCACTTCAAAGGTGATACCTCCAAGCCCAGGAGGGGCAGGGGCTCTGGCAGAGCCAGGACCAGCCCTCAGGACACTGGCCCCCTGGTCCTCCCATCTCCCCTCCACTGCACCACTCCACCTGGCTTCCTGGCTGTCCTTGTGTATGTGATGTACGTGTGAGTGCAGGGCTGTGCCGGGGGTGGGGGGGGCGGGGTTATCTGTGTAGCACTGACTGTCTTAGCTCAGAGCTGATGGATCCTCTCCACGGACAAGGACACTTTAAACGTTGCTTTTAAAAAGATTTTCCTGTGTGCGAGTTTTTTCCCTCGGGCTCATGGGTCTACTGCTCCCTCCAGGTGCCCTTACCTTGAGGCTGATGAGAGCGCCCCAGCCATTCCTGTTCTGAGTTCCTGGGAAGTACTCCTAGGAAGAGCCCAGACACGTGAGGGGCCAGCTCTGAGGAAGGGCGATCTTCTCCACACTTCTCTTTCCCAAGCTAGAAATGCAGACAAGTTTTCAAAGGCACAGCCTCTTCCCGCCAGCTTCCAGCATCTTCCTTGGTGTGCGGTAGGCCAGTTAGGGGTAGGCAGCTTCCTCCCATTCTCCTTTATCCCAGCTTACTTTCCTGGGGAGAAGTGTCTGGTGGGATTTAAGTCACTTCAGTTGGGAAGCTGGGACCCAGCACCCTGACCCCCTACAGTCACACCCACCAGACTACAAGTGTCTAGTCTAGCTCCTGACCACTCCGACTTGATCTACTGAGAAGTTGGGGACTGAGGGGCGCCTTCACTGTCCTTTGTTTGCTTCCTCCAGCCCAAGGTGGGACTTAGGTGGCAGGACCCCAGACTCCAACCTTGATCTCCCCCACCCCCATTCCATCCCAGCCTATCTCAGCGTAGCAGACCCTTCCTAGGGGAGCAGGAAGGGGAAGCCATGGTTTGCAAACCCAGGGCTCCTTTTTCATTCTTTCTAAAACCTCCTTTATATTCTCACCCCAAAAGGCAATGCCCCCCCCCTCCCGCACACCCGCCACCTCCAAGCCTGGAATTGTGCATAACCTGGATCTTGTATCTTTGTATAACGGATGTTATTTGTACGAAGGGCAGTTCGTAAACAGCACTTGTTCTTTTAATAAAAGAATGTTTTACAAAAAAAACCCAAAAACAACCCTCCAAAGAGACCCTGCTTTGTCTGGCTTTACTGAAGGGAAAGGGAGGTGGCCTGCCAACTGTGGGAGCCGGGGGGGGCGGGGGGGCATGTCTAGTACAGTCTTCAAGCACTAGAATAGTTCACCAGGATGCACAACACCAAGACTGCACCGCGAACATTCACATACCTGCGCCCACCCACGAGGATGTGGTGCGTAGGCCGGGCTGGTGGAATCGTAAAAACAAGCTCCTAGGTGTGCCCGCCCCGCGCTCCTAGAAACACTGCCAGCTCTGCAGGAGAAACGGCTCCGGGAGGGTACGGCCCCCGCCCGCGGGTGGGGTGGGGTGGGGGCTGGGAGCGCACGCGGGGAAACGAAAGGCGATGCTCCGCGGCTCACTC